TACAAAACTTGCATCACCTGTTGTTGACATATATACACGTTTTCAAGATGTACTTATACATCTTTATAAATGTTACACACACTCACACACAGACATACACACACACACACACATATATATATATATATATATATATATATATATATATATATATATATATATATATATACGTTTTGAACATGTACTTATACATCTTTAAAATTTTCATTGCCTGTTCTTGACCTATATATATATACATTTTCAAGACATACTTATATGTCTTTAAAAAATTTAATTGTCTGCTGTTGATGTATGTATACATTTCCAAGGTATATATCTTTATGAAGTATATTTAAGATGCTGTCAAGATATACATATTCAGGATACTGTGAAATGTCATCCCTTAGAGCATTTGTGTTACAAACTTACATTTGGTGCTATTTCCAAACCAGCATAGACACAGAGTAGCGTGCCATACAGCCTGTTTTGTGATGTATTTTTATTAAATTTAGTATTTAGGAAGTCATTTAGCTGAGATATTGCAGAGTATTTGATCAATACCAAAATGACAGGACCCTTGAGAATGACCATCACTGTTTTTATAGTTATTTATTTCCAATAAGTAGCAATTTCTTATTTTTCCCAAAATAGGCCAACATCACCAGCATTCAGGTCTGTCAGGTCTTTCTACAATTGATGCAGGAGTGTGAGCTAGCCATCAGATTTAGGCAAGTGGAAATTTTAAGATGAGGTGCAACATGTACATAACAAACTCCACATTTTAAACCAAGTGTTTACATGTCATGCTCCATCAAATTGGGACAATTATAGTTTTAGGGTTTCTGTCATTTTTTTTTTCCTTCTCATAGGCAGGTAACCAATCTTTTTTGTAGAGATCTACCATACCTGTTATTCAACAGTATTACTGACATGGTTAGTTTGAAGTTCAGGTCATGGAATCGCCACAATGATTTACATATAATATTTAAGTTTTAATGAAAGTTCCTGCAACCTGTGATTTAAAACGTAGATTAATATCAAGGAGATAGGTGTGAACAAATCTATCTAATATATTTATAAGTCTACCATTCCTCCATGTATTGAATATTGTTACAACATTTGGTCTGGTGCTTCTATGCGTTTAGAGATCCTTGATAAAATCCAAAGAAAAATCTGCAATGTTATTGGTTCTGACCTGGCATCTCGCCTTCGGTCACTTTACCACCACTGTAATGTAGCTTCCTTGTGCCTTTTCTATAAATACTATAATATGGTAATTGTCCTGATGAACTTTCCTCTGTTGTACCTAGACTTTATGAATTTAAGCGCAGTGCTTGATTGGCGGTTAGGTCTCATCATTTTACAGTCGAAATGGCTAGATGTAACCGTAGGTTCTATGCTAACAGTTTCTTCTCTCTCTCATGGAACACGTTTTCGATTCTTACTTTTCAGTTAACTGTTATCTTCAAAAATGTAAATGCAATGCCAATCGTTATCCTCTGTCTTTTTTAATACCTGTTCTTTTATCGTCCTCTCTCATTAGTAATGTCTTTCTTTTGTCATATTCTCTCACGCTCAGTAAGCCCTTGCATCTTAGTGGCTTTATTGCCTTGCTTGGGGTGAAATGATAATTTTTTTTTTCGTTTCTTTCGATCACTAGAAGTCGCAGAACATTACTAAAGAAAGAAATTGACAATTCTGTTAATATAGAATTGTAAATCTGCCTTGGGATGTGCATTGGTACATTCTGCATTGAATGTGGGTGTGATTTATCTGCTAACACAAACAATTATACTTATCTGCTAACACAAACAATTATTTACCTCTGATCACGATCATTAAAGTACCGTTACTGTAGGCGACAATATTTTCTACCACTTATTCTCGGTAAACAGTAGATAAAGGGATGTTTAATGGACTTCTTTTTAAAAATGGAATATCCTGTGCGTCATAGTACCCACTATCATACCTCATTCGACTTCCAATCATTCAATTCTAACCAGGGTTCATACTGAACCACTAGATATCACAGTACAATCGATATAGGTTTAAATATCGTCCGGTTCACACTCCTCCCTGGACTTTTGGACAGGTGTAGGTGTTCATTCCTTTAGTGTTTAGGATTAGGTTTCCGGTTTCTTCTAAAGTCTTTTTCGTTCTCTTTCACTCCCAGTAGCCCCTTCTATCATAGTGACATTATCTCCTTGTTTGGGGTACGATGCAACCAATAATGGCATCTCAATTTTTCAGGAAACGGTTTTAAACAGGCAGCTAATCTTTAGGAAACTATTTTTGCAGTAGTAGCCCTTAATAAATCTAGTATCAGAAGCAGGTATAAAACAACGCGAATCTTTAAATTAACTCTCTTCTCTTCCGGATTTTCCTCTTTCGAACTGGGTGATATGAACTTTTCACACTGAAGCAAAATCGGCTGTGAACGCTTCACATTAAAACACACTCAAGACACACTCAAATATATTCATTAACATTTCGTTGTGTATGCAATTTACTTTTAAGAAAAGAAAATCTTCCTTTTGTTAATTGCGTTTAATAAATGTTATCTTGCATTGCAAATCAATTGGTCCGTTATTTTGAGCCTGTACACTTTCACCATTATGTATTGTATTCCTGTAAGAAACCTTACAACTTAATTATCGAAGCAGATAACGCACCAAATTGCTTATTTTCTTTTCAATATGAGAATGGAAACAAATCACTTTATAATACCAAAAACAATTAAACCATTTTGATAATTTAATATAAAACATTTAATTATTAAGAGATTTCCAGACTGAAATTGTGTTCTCTTCGTCATATTCGAACTGAATTGCTGCAGTCCCAAAAATCCAATGGAATACCGATCAAATTTATGACCAGAAGTTTTGCCACATTTTTAACTTCAACACGATTTCTTTTGTCATTACAGAAAATCCTTTTTCAGCCTCTGCCTCTATGTTCACTTTTATATTTACACACGCTCTATCTCTGATATTGAGCACTTTATCCCATAAATATAGCACACCTTAAGACTATATTTCTTTATATATATATATATATATATATATATATATATATATATATATATATATACTTTAGTCTTTCCTCTCAATAATAACAAACATTTTGACGATAAAACTTTGTTTTTATTAAGTTTGGGGCTTTTTTTTTATTATGCTACGCTTTTTGTTTCAGTTAATTTGTGGAGGTAGCTATTTAAAGGCAGGTAATCTTTAGGGTCCTATTATGCTTATATTCTTTTCAATTTAAGAATGGAGACAAGTCACTTTATAGTATCAAAAAGAATTAAACCATTTTGATAATTTAATATAAAATATTTAATTATTAAGAGATTTCTAGACTGAAATTCTGTTCTCATTATATTTCTGTTCAGGAGTATGATGCTTTTTGACTCTAGTGTCATCAGATGTGTTATGGACTCTTCACCACATTCGAACTGAATTGCTGCAGTCCCAAAAATCCAATGGAAGACCGATCAAATTTATGACTAGAAGATTTACCGCATTTTTAACTTCAAGACGATTTCTTTTCTCATCACAGAAAATCCTTTTTCAGCCTCCACTGAACTTATAGAAATGCTATTTATTATATTTTGAGTTCTTTGAGTGCAACATGTATATGGTAATTTCTCGCTACGTTTTCAACGTAATCACAGAATTCATTAACAGAGATCTCGTGTGTGTCGTGTGTTGAGTGGAGCGTGTGTCTATAAGAGTTTCACTAGACGTGTGTCCGAGCGTAGCCCAACTGACATTTTACCTTGACCATCATATAAGATCATTTTTGGTTCGTTAAGCTTTTAGAATTTTAAGAATCGGTTCGCCTGAACCGGTATGATGGCACCACTGCATTGTAACCCAGTACTAGCTTTGTCGAGTCATCTGCGACCCAAATCAATTCCCACACCCCATGTCCTGGGTATGACGTCAAACTGCATCCAACATCAAGGCCTCTGATCAGGAGGTTTTGAGGAGCGTGGAACCACCTCTTAATTGCTGGTGTCCTGGTTATGACGATAAACTACATCCGTGTCCTGGGTATGACGATAAACTACGTCCAACAGCAAGGCCTCTGATAATGTTTTTGAAAAAATAATGTTGCCAGCTATACGTTTAATAGTACTATGTATTTAATATATATATATATATATATATATATATATATATATATATAACTAGATTTGGCATTAAATGACCTACAGTGGTTGATATGCCATAAAACCCAACCAACCTATCCCACACCCCGGGCCTTTCTGGTGAGAAGAATGGCTAGATACCCAGCAGGATTAAAACCAAGACCCGTGAAATTGCGTTAAGCGTTCTTGTAGGGTTAACGGTCATCTAGCATAATGGAGTAGACTGGGGCTCCATAGCTATGGATATAGCCAGTGCGGTAATGACACGGCAACGCTGGACGGAGGGCTTCCTAGACTGAAGTCAACGCTATTGAATAAACGGTCTTCGAGCTAGGGGACATCGGCCGTCGTTTGATTTGGAATAGAATGGACTCTTGTCACATTGAGTTTGCCCAACACATGATACGCATGAATGAATGTCTTTCCGGCTTTCATCCCAGGAACTGGTCAGGTTTTAAGCTGAGTAGTGGCCCTACGACCACGCTCGGTCATAGAACTGATGATGATGATGATGATGATTTCTATGTCCTCACCGTAGAGTCGAGCCACCTACCATTATATACCTTTGCATAGTATCACGTGGGTTTTGGAACGTCAGTGTCAATGGCATTCGTTTGGGGATGATGAGTGTTGTGAGGAAATGTCATCGATTATTGGATGAGGCGAAGAATTTAACGGATATAGACGCGTCGAAAGAAAAAAAAAAGAAGATTTTGAACGAGGCAGCCGGGTGTATTTTGGCTTCTTCTTAATACTCAGAATACGGTATAAAAATATGTCTGCGTCTCGAAGCAATGAAGAAATGGCAGGAAAAAAGAAACTATTTTTTTTTCTGTTCATGAACTGATAGCTTTATTGAAGAATTCGTTTAAAGGTCAAAGTTCAAAATGAAAGAAGGGAATGGAAATAGAAAGAAAGAAAGAAAGAAAGAAAGAATGAAATGGAAATGAGAAAGAAAGAAAAGAAAGAAAGAAAGAAATGGAAATGTGAAAGAAGAAAGAAAAAAGAAAGAAAGAAAGAAAGAATGAAATGGAAATGAGAAAGAAAGAAAAAAAGAAAGAAATGGAAATGTGAAAGAAGAAAGAAAAAAGAAAGAAAGAAAGAAAGAATGAAATGGAAATGAGAAAGAAAGAAAGAAAGAAAGAAATGGAAATGTGAAAGAAGAAAGAAAAAAGAAAGAAAGAAAGAATGAAATGGAAATGAAAGAAAGAAAGAAAGAAAGAAAGAAATGGAAATGTGAAAGAAAAAAAAAAAAAGAAAGAAAGAAAGAATGAAATGGAAATGAGAAAGAAAGAAAGAAAGAAAGAAAGAAATGGAAATGTGAAAGAAGAAAGAAAAAAGAAAGAAAGAAAGAATGAAATGGAAATGAGAAAGAAAGAAAGAAAGAAATGGAAATGTGAAAGAAGAAAGAAAAAAGAAAGAAAGAATGAAATGGAAATGAGAAAGAAAGAAAGAAAGAAAGAAAGAAAGAAAGAAAGAAAGAAATGGAAATGTGAAAGAAGAAAGAAAAAAGAAAGAAAGAATGAAATGGAAATGAGAAAGAAAGAAAGAAAGAAAGAAAGAAAGAAAGAAAGAAAGAAAGAAATGGAAATGTGAAAGAAGAAAGAAAAAAGAAAGAAAGAAAGAATGAAATGGAAAAGAAAGAAAGAAAGAAAGAAAGAAAGAAAGAAATGGAAATGTGGAAAGAAGAAAGAAAAAAAAGAAAGAAAGAAAGAATGGAAATGGAAAGAAAGAAAGAAAGAAAGAAAGGAAATGGAAAGAAAGAAAGAAAAAAAAAGAAAGAAAGAAAGAATGAAATGGAAATGAGAAAGAAAGAAAGAAAGAAAGAAAGAAAGAAAGAAATGGAAATGTGAAAGAAGAAAGAAAAAAGAAAGAAAGAAAGAATGAAATGGAAATGAGAAAGAAAGAAAGAAAGAAATGGAAATGTGAAAGAAGAAAAAAAAAGAAAGAAAGAACGCTCCTGAAATGGAAATGAGAAAGAAAGAAAGAAAGAAAGAAAGAAATGGAAATGAAAGAAAGAAAAAAAAAAAGAAAGAAAGAAATGAAATGGAAAGAAAGAAAGAAAATGGAAAAGAAAGAAAAAAGAAAGAAAGAAAGAAATGGAAATGGAAAAAGAAAGAAAAAAGAAAGAAAGAAAAAAGAAAGAAAAAGAAAAGAAAGAAAGAAAATGAAATGGAAATGAGAAAGAAAAAGAAAGAAAGAAAGAAAGAAAGAAAAAGAAAGAAAGAAAGAAAGAATGAAATGGAAAAGAGAAAGAAAGAAAGAAAGAAATGGAAATGAAAGAAGAAAGAAAAAAGAAAGAAAGAATGAATGAAATGAAATGAGAAAGAAAGAAAGAAAGAAAGAAATGGAAATGTGAAAGAAGAAAGAAAAAAGAAAGAAAGAAAGAATGAAATGGAAATGAGAAAGAAAGAAAGAAAGAAAGAAAGAAAGAAAGAAAGAAATGGAAATGTGAAAGAAGAAAGAAAAAAGAAAGAAAGAAAGAATGAAATGGAAATGAGAAAGAAAAAGAAAGAGTTAAAAGAAAGAAAGAAATGGAAATGTGAAAGAAGAAAAAAGAAAGAAAGAAAGAATGAAATGGAAATGAAAGAAAAAAGAAAGAAAGAAAGAAAGAAAGAAAGAAAGAAAGAAAGAAATGGAAATGTGAAAGAAGAAAGAACAAAGAAAGAAAGAAAGAATGAAATGGAAATGAGAAAGAAAGAAAGAAAGAAAGAAAGAAAGAAAGAAAGAAAGAAAGAAAGAAAGAAAGAAAGAAATGGAAATGTGAAAGAAGAAAGAAAAAAGAAAGAAAGAAAGAATGAAATGGAAATGAGAAAGAAAGAAAGAAAGAAAGAAAGAAAGAAATGGAAATGTGAAAGAAGAAAGAAAAAAGAAAGAAAGAAAGAATGAAAGAATGAAATGGAAATGAGAAAGAAAGAAAGAAAGAAAGAAATGGAAATGTGAAAGAAGAAAGAAAAAAGAAAGAAAGAAAAATGAAATGGAAATAGAATGAAAGAATGAAAAAGAAAGAAGTGGAAATAAGAAAGAAAGAAAGAAAGAAAGAAAGAAAGAAAGAAAGAAAGAAATGGAAATAAAAGAAAGAACGAAATAAATAAATAAATAAATAATGGGAAATAGAACGAAAGAAATAGAAATAAAAAGAAAGAAAGAAAATAATGGAAATAAAAAAGAAAGAAAGAAATGGCAAGATAAGGAAAGAGTTTTATTCAAAGAAAAACCTAGCGAATTTGATTTGCAAAAAAAAGGCCTAAAGATATTTTAAGCTGAAAGTCAGATTAACAAAACGAAATAAGATTCAATGTATCCAATAATATTAACTATTAAAGTCGCTAGAGGGCGTGTCATTGACGGACTATAAAATGGCCACAGTTTACGATGACAATTCATTTTATGAAGCGACAGAGTAAATAGTGAATGGCGGACGAGCTAGCCGGCTCTCAGATAGAGGATTAACAGGAAATGCTATCTTGTTGATGTGGCATGCCCAAAGGATCAAAATCTTCTTATGAAAGCGGCTGAGAAACTCAGCAGATCACCACTTTGACATGGCAGATTTGTGGCCTATAGGTGCTACCATGGTCCCCTTTATCATTGGTGCATTAGGCTCCATCTCCTGGTCATTGAATTTAACCTAGAAATGCTTGGAATTAAGTGCCATGTTTTAACCCTGCAAAAATCGGCATTACTAGGAACATCCTGCTGAAGGTACTCTCTCTCTCTCTCTCTCTCTCTCTCTCTCTCTCTGAGGCCATTGGTTGGGGAACACTGATAATGTAAGATTCCCAGTAACACTGGACAAAGTAAGGAATAGTAACAAAATAAAAAGCGTTTCTTATATCCTGCTCGATGACAGTTGACCCTACAAGAAGGTTTATCCACTCTTTGTGAAGATATATATATCTGCCGAGTTTCTCAGTCGCTTTCATAACAAGATTCTAGTCCCCTGGGCATGTAACATCAATAAGATAGCATTTTCTATAAATCCTCTATTTGACATTGAGCCGGCTAGCTCGTCTGCCATTCGCCATATACCCTGTCGCTTCATAAAATGAACTGTCATCTTAAATAGTGACGACTTTATACTCCGTCAATGGTACGCCCTCTAGCGACTTTAATAGTTAATATTATTTGATAAATTGCGTTTTTTTTTTCGTTTTGATATTCTGACTTTCAGCTTAAAAATATCTTCAGGCCTTTTTTGAAAATCAAATTTGCTACTTTTCTGCAACATTTGCTAGGTTTTCTTAGAATAAAACTTTATTTTCTTATTTTGCCATTTCTTTCTTCCTTTTATTTCCATTTCTTTTTTTTTTTCTTATTTCCATTTTTTTTTTTCTTATTTCCATTTCTTTCTTTCTTTTTATTTCAATTTCTTTCTTTCCTTCTTTCTTTCTTTCTTTCTTCCTTTCTTTTATTTCCATTTCTTTCTTTTTTCCTTCTGTTTCCATTTCATTCTTTCTTTTTATTTCAATTTCTCTTTCCTTCTTTCTTTTATTTTGTTTGTTTGTTTGTTTCTTTCTTTCTTTCTTTTATTTCCATTTCATTCTTTCTATCGTCCCTTCTTATATTATATAAAAACGTTGGAAATGTCCGTCGCATAGCCAACCAACTGTACCAAGAATCAGGATCTGTTAATTTGCAACCTCTGGAGGTTATAGGTTGAAGCTTGGAGGCATCTCGTAAAACATACAAGCAGATTCAAAACACAATAATAATAATAATAATAATAATAATAATAATAATAATAATTAATAAATATAAATAATATCGGAAATAGATTAGCATTTGTTTGTCTAAGGTGATGATGAGGTTGCATTGAGTACGAAATGTTGGGCGATAGTTGTGGTGACCTCGAAGTGCGACGTAATCTGTTGCTTTCACTTTCAAACAAATGCCCTCCCTAAAATAGGGGGTTAAATAGCAGGGTAGACTGGCTTTTTTAGCTTTGAGTGGTAGTCAGTCTAAGAGAAGGAATTAATATATATATATATATATATATATATATATATATATATATATAAGCACTTTTGTTTGGTCATGTATCTGAGTATTTAGAACGTTTGCTTCCTGTCCATGAAACAAGGGTTTGAATCTCACCAACGTACTCTCTCTCTATCTCTCTCTTTGTCTCTCTCTCAAACACACACACGCAAGCGGACATTGTGTTTTTCCAATTTTTGGCGCTGTCAGAACCACCGCAAGGTAATTTTACGTAGTCCTGTGAAGTTTTGTTGAAATCCGTTGAAAAATGTGGGAAATCCGATCCAATATATAAACGTACAGACACACACACACAATCTGCATTTTATAATAAGTAAGATTATTCATTCAGGGCGGTAAATGTAATGATTACTCTTTAATTAAAAGTATTTACTTAAATAAATTATATCTATAAAAATAACTTATAAACAGAAAATGTTGGATATTATGTATATTCATTAATATATATATATGTGTGTGTGTGTGTGTGGAAATGGGTAGGAAAATAAATATATATATATATGAAAAATTTCTCAGGATTAACCTGTAGAAGAAAACAATATGTATAAAGGTAAAATTCCTAACAGAATTACTGCTCTCCCAAGCCAGCATACACAACAACTATATCAAGAAATTAAAAGAAAATGGTTGAATCCGCTAACACAACAATAAAAACAATATTTCTACATTTGAAAGTACTTTACGTAATTTTTAGTTGACAATATGAATACAATAGCGTTTTCTAAATTCTTCTAGGTGCTAAGGACATTTTGTTTGTTGTTAATAGTTACTTTGTTTTCAATAAATTCATTTCGGTTTGCCTTAGAAAGGTTCACATTAGACGAAACGCGTCGGTTAATAATACAGATTTCTTATTATTTTTACCTTTTATATATATATATATATATATATATATATATATATATATATATATATATATACATGATATTATTTTAAAATTTATTTAAATACGATTTTATATGTGTTTATTGTTATTTTAGTGTTTTGACGTTTCTTATGGTCCTAACGGCCGACGTAAACTCAAGTAAAACGACGTAAGGCGAGTTTTATTTTTCTATATAATATTTAAGAAAAACCGACGTATCTTCGAAAATTACTTAACTCGAAACGACTTAAACCGAGGTATGTATGTATATATGCATGTACGTATGTATATATATGTGTGTGTGTGTTAAGCACTTTTGAATGATCGTGTGAAGGAGTGGTTAGAATGGACGCTTTCTGCTCATGAGACCCAGAGATGAGATTTGCCAGGGAGGCGACTTCTTGTTGGTATCGGCCTGGAGAGGCGACCCCAGCATTTGGCACAGTATGTTATTTCGCTCTCTCTCTCTCTCTATCTCTCTCTCTCTCTCTATCTCTCTTTCTCTCTCTCTCTCCCCGGCAATCGTAGCCCAGGTCCGTTCGGCATTGTTACAGTATAAACCTCGGTAAGTGCAATACAGCAGGGAATGACTGCCCACTTCGAGTATCACTCGGTCATTTATTTAATTTATTGAATGGCCGTAAAATAGTCAGTCATCAAGTGGAATATGAACGGTTGACAGCTGACTTCTTTTATCTTTGCGTTTCTGTTTTTTTTTTTTTGTTTGTTTGTTTTTTTGACACTGTGGCATCTCAATTAAGAAACATATCCAATGTCGATCGTATGTCTAGAAAAATGCGTCACTAGAAAACTTTTTCCACTTTTTCATACCCCCCCCCATATCATGTACAGTACATACGTAATTACCAGGGTTGGATTAACCATTAAGCAAATTAAGCATGTGCATAGGGCTACAAGGGAAGAGGGCCCCCACTGAAACAGTAATGATATGATATTGTTGTATATGTCACATTTGAATCAACGGGATGCCATTATTAACGCGGAGACAACTAACCCGCAGTGAATCTTTATTGCCATTCTGATTGGTTAATAAGGGAATGAGCTAAGGGAGATAATGAGGTTTTTATTTACTCAATACATCACATCAGCTCTCTTGAATAAGTTAGTGCAATAAAACCTCGGTTCACGAATTTAATTCGTTCCTGAAGACCGTTCGTAACCTCAAATGTTTCTAAACCACATGACCAGTGTTTAATGGACATTTTCCCTCATTTCTTGTGTGAGTGGCGTAATAGTTGTAGCGCGGTAAGTGGAATCGGCGTGTCGAGTTCAAATTCTGTCATGGTCTACTACGTTCACTTTTGTACTAATGCTCTGGGAAATGGCATTAATTCATCTTCTTCTAGCTACAGTTAAATAGCAGAGCAGACTGGAATATCTAGCCTTGGATGGTATTCCCCGTAGAAGAAGGAGTACTCGGAATTTAACCCCCTTCCCTACATCTGAATAATAAGGTTATTTGAGTCCTTTGGCCTCGTTAGGGCAAGCATTTTTAAAGGTCAACTCGGATTTCAAAACTAAAGAAGTGTGTACTCGATCAGGCAATCTTGCCCTAGACACACCCACTGCTGTTATAGCTGCAGTACTTCATGGATTACGGGATTCGTAATTCTAATTTCAGTTTTCAGATTTAAGAGAATAGTATCTGTCTATATTTCTGAGATGAGGTATTGTAACTATTTACATTATTTACATCGTTCTGACTGTTCTCCTCATCTTTATTGCTATATTCACGACGTCTCGGCCGCTATACGCTTCGGCCTTCTTCGGGATCTGTCTATATTTCTGAGATGAGGTATTGTAACTATTTACATTATTTACATCGTTCTGACCGTTCTCCTCACCTTTATTGCTATATTCACGACGTCTCGGCTAAATCAAATCAGACTTCCCTCTGACCTTGTATCATACATTGTCAGTGCTCTATGCTTGACCTTCATAGGATTTTTCGGGAAAATAGGGATTAGTTGGCAGCGCCCATCTCCTTCCCAACTATCAGATTATATAGTAGATCGTCAAGACACTATATTCATTTTTCATATTGAAATTCACTGAATAAAAAGTCTCGAGGGCCTCTCAATGTCGAGAGTGTTAAAATAGTAATGATGAAAGCGGTAATTAACATGGTGTTTTTCTAAGCGGGGCACAAGGCCGAAAGTATCGAGCACCCACTGAAGATCGAACTCACTATTCAGTCGTAACTTTTCTATCAAGGCAAGCCTACTTACCATTGCAACACACCGTGGTACATGAAAAAATGATTTTTTTAAGCGTAGCATAGATGTGGCACAAGGCCGAAA